ATATATATATATATATATATATATAAATATATATATATATATATATATATATATATATATATATATATATATATATATATATATATATATATATATATATATATATATATAATTTTATTATTATTATTATTATTATTATTAATTTTTTATTTATTTATTTATTTATTTATTTGCTGGAGATAATGTTGTCCAAAAAAAAAAAAAAAAAGTTAAATAAAAAAATCCTACACATACCATAGGAACGGTATTACAAACAAAAAATTGGCGGCTTTAAACGTTGAAATACTGCTGTCTTTGTATCCATCAGTTTCTTGTGGCACATTCACCCTTCTCAAATATATAATTTCCAAAAAACTAAAACCACAAAAAACTATAAATGCATTCATCACTGGACAGATTAAACGAGCAGATGCTCAGACAGAAGATTTCAGACACCAAGTCATGCGAGCAGAAATTACAACATGCTGTCTAAAACTGGCTTTGCATGATATGGATGAGATTACCAGAGGGTTAGGCGGATTTCACCAAATCAGACAGACATCCAACAAAACCCCAACAGCTGTGTGTGTGTCCGATACAACATTAACCCCAAAGTAGAATATGAACGTTTCCTCCTACCTGGAGTTGTTTAAGTTATCAGGGCAGTCTGAATCCACACCGGATGACTGGATGCAAATCAGCAAAACCGAACCGAGCAGAGCCGCGGATCCTCCGGTGAGTCTGGCGGAGAAAAACCCGATATGATCAGAGTCGAGTCTGCTGGAACTTCAGTCACATCAAATGAAATGAAGTCCACAAAGGAAGCCGTAAATGCTGATGAACGGTTTCTGATGGTAAAGCAATGGCAAGCATCGGGCGCATACACGCAGGAAGGGGTACCGGGAGACGCGCAAACTGACGCCGGTGTCTGCGCTGCGGCGCCTCCGTCAACACTGGAGAGATCAGAGACAAAAGAGTGCTGAAGAAGAGGACAAAATCCCCCCTCCCGGGGAGGACACACAGAGAGAGAGAGAGAGAGAGAGAGAGAGAGAGAGAGAGAGATAGAGAGAGAGAGAGAGAGAGAGAGAGAGAGAGAGAGAGAGCGCATTCACAGCTGAATAAAAGGCATGCATCAATCATGACTGTTAACAATGATTGTAGATGCAAATTACAGACATATCTAAATGCACTAAACATGCTCAGTAAAAGATGAATAAAAATAACCATTAAGTTGATTTTTTGAAGAGTTAATGGACCAAATTTCGTGTTTGTCCATATTTCACCCAATTTGGGTTGAAAGAGGAGCACTCATTTTAACAACAGTTTATAATAATCATCTTATGTAACAGGAGGAAATTAAACAAGCATCAATTATGATTGTTAAGAAGGATTTTAGATGCAAATTACAATGCATTAAAAATGCTTAGTAAGATATGGATAAAAATAGCTGCAGATTATTTTAATTGAATTTACTGGACCAAATTTAACCCATTTGTTGTGCATATCTCAGCCAATCTGGGTTGTTTTCATAACATCCATTCAATCATTTTCCTTCAGTTTAGTTTTTGATTTATCAGTATGAGAAGGTTTGCAGTAGTTTGCAGAGAGCATTCACAGCAGAATTAAAGGCATGCATAAATCATGACTGTTAACAAAGATTTTAGATGCAAAGTATAAATAATAAAATGCACTTATAAAATACAGATAAAAATAGCAGCTGAGATGATCATTTAAAGTACATTTACTGGAGCAAATTTACCCAAATTTTGTGTTTGTCCATATTTTACCCATTTTGAGTTGTTTTAATCACATTCATTCATTTTCCTTTAGCTTAGTCTCAGATAATCAGGGGCCTCCACTATTTTAATAAGAGTTTATACTAGCAATACTTACCAATCTCACCAAAAATACAAGTTTGCATAGAGCACATTCACAGCTGAATTAAAGGCATCAATCAAGACTTGACTTAATGATTTGAGAGGCAAAGTGCTAATAAAATGCACTAAAAAGCTTATTAAATACTGATAAAAAGAGCAGCTGAGTTGATTATTTAAAGTAAATTTACTGGAGCAAATTTAACCCAAATTTTAGGTTTGTCCATATTTTACCCATTTTGGGTCGTTTAATAGCAAGTAACTGGGTGGTTCATTCCGCTGTGGCAATAAAATAAGGGACAATGCCAAAGGAAAATAAATGTAGTAACTGAAATGCCAACAAAAAAAGTGCTAAAAGCAAAAGCTAGCACTATATCTGCTAAAAATTCTGCTTTTTATGACAATTTTATTTATATACACGGTAAAAAAAACAAAACAAAAAAACTGTAATTTGACATTTGTGGTACAAAAGTGGCAGTAATAATAGTAAAAGTATCTTACAATAATGCAAATTGGGGAAATTCTTGAGTGCATTCACAGATGAATAAAAGGCAAGCATCAGTCATGACTGTTAACAACGATTTTGAATGCAAAGTACAGAAATAGTCAAATGCACTAAAATGCTTACACTGAAAAAAAAATCTTTCATTGAAAATTGTTGCAAGCAATTAATATAAACTGAATTTAAACAAACAATTTAGGTTGAACATTACTAAATTTAATTTGTTTAAATTCAGCTTCTAGAAATTGTTTGCAACCACTTAGAAATGAGTAAATCCAATGAATATTCTTTTCAGTGTAAAATATGCGTAAAAAGAACCGCTCATTATTTGAATTAAAATTACAGCAACAATTTTAACCTATATTTTGTGATTGTCCATATTTTACCCAATTAGGTTGTTTTAATAAGAGTTTATAATTATTATATACCAATAATGCAGCATGAAGAAATTGAGTTTGCAGAGCGCATTCACAGCAGAATAAAAGGCATGCATCAGTCATGATGGTTAACAATGATTTTAGATGCAAATTACAAATTACAGAAAGAGCAAAGCACATTAAAAATATGGACAGTCACCTGATGAGTACATTTTTAAAATAAAATTAATTTGGACCAAATTGAGCAAACTTCGTGATGTCCTTATTTCACCTAATTTGGTTTCACCTCATTTTAATTACAGCTTATAGTAATTATCTTACCAATAATGCAGCAGGGGAAACTTCTGAAATGCTAACAGCACTGATCTCTAGCGCCTTGGACTGCAATTTTCCTTTAATCACCCTTGTGGACCAATTATGAGCACCCCTGGAAATAACCCAGCATTTTACTTCTCACAGCAGACTGGCTAGATCTCCATTTCATGCACTATGAATATATTTTGCCAGAGATCCCCGTTTACTAAATCAAAATAGAAAAGATTCTGTCTGAATGAGACAACTGTAAATGCAGAAATGATATGAAACTCAGGCATGAAGATATTTAATTAAATAATGTTTTATTTATAAAATAGCTTTGTCTGATTTAATCCAAATTGAGTCAATCTGAAGTTGCCAACTAGCAATAATTAAAGATGTGGAGCACAATATTGCAAGCTTTTGATAAAATGAAATAACAATTGGAATAATAGACTTCAAAACAAAGAATTTCTTAAACTCTTCGCTATGACTTTATTTTAATGGTCCCTTTAACACATTTTGTTGAATTTAAGTTGCATTGCATCGACATGCTGACTAACTCTCATTTCAAGAGTTCACACTTAGATATTGCTTGACAGCTGTAAGCAGGTTTGGCATGCTGTCCCGGGAGAGAACCCTGAGCTCGGAGATAGTTGAGCCCAGGGCTCCCGCCAGGTCCATAGAGCATGTGAGGGGAGTACGAGATCAGGTGGTTCTCGAGAGCTCCCCTTTTTGTAAAGGAGAAAAGGAGGAGAAAGGGGTGGATGGGGGGTTTCTTCGGAAAACGAAGATAAGGGAGTAATGTCTAGCTAGGCTACTTATAGTGGGTTAGGATAGATCTGATTGGCTAACTAATGAGTGTAGATAGGTGGCCAGCTGCTGTCAATTATATCACGTGCTCCTCTCGAAATTAGTTTAAAAACTTCACTTCAAGAGTTCACACTTAGATATTGCTTGACAGCTGTAAGCAGGTTTGGCATGCTGTCCCGGGAGAGAACCCTGAGCTCGGAGATAGTTGAGCCCAGGGCTCCCGCCAGGTCCATAGAGCATGTGAGGGGAGTACGAGATCAGGTGGTTCTCGAGAGCTCCCCAAATGCATGAAGCTCGGGACAGCAGCCGTGTATTCGAAGAAACTCCCCAAAAGGCTTGAAATGCTATATCCGGCTGCTGGATATAGTTATTTGAAAAAGAAAAAGTAAAGAGGGCTCCTTTGGAGCAAAGGGTGAAACAGGTTCCTGCGGGAACCCGAGCAGAGTTGGCTTGGGCTGTGAATACTCCTGCTGGAGTAGAG